GACAGACAGACAGTCAGTCAGACAGACAGACAGACAGACAGTCAGTCAGACAGATAGATTTAATATTTAATATTTGAATATTAATTCCATTTCTTACATTTGCGTACAGAATTGTGAATATTTCATAAATATTGACTAGGCACATTGAGAATTGAACCACATACATTTACATAGTTTTCATTTCAATTATTTAATATCTGTTATTTAATTATATTTGTTATTTAATTATATTTGAATTATTATGAATAATTTTTTATTCTTTAAATCTTTAAGAGTATTATTATATATTTCTCATGTAAGGCATGCAGTACTTATGTTTTTAGTAAGCGTTTTATTATAATTATCTTATAATTATAATCATCCATTTATTTATTTAAATTTTAAAAAATTTAATAAATTTTTAGTAAGCGTTTTATTTTGTCTTTCATTTAAATTATTCAAATTTCACATTTTTATGCTTACATTTTTAGTGTTTCATTTTAATTGTTATTTTAAATTCTTTAAATTTTACATTGTTTTAATTAATTTTTAGTAAGTGTTTTATTTTAATTATCTTTCATGATTTAAATTGCACATTATTATGATTTAATTGTTATTGCTTCATTTTAATTGTTTTTATTTTAAATGATTTAAATCCTAAATATGTTATTTATTTATTTATTTAAAATTAATTATTTTACAGTACCTGTCTGATTTACATCTTTATTATTATTTTAATAATAATTATGCTATATTTCACATGTAAAGCATGTAGGGCTTATGTACCTTCAGTATTTTTCATCACATATTACTCTTTTGGTAAAAGTCAAATAAAAGCTTACTTTCTGGTGTTGTTCTGCTGTGTTCAGGAGCGCGTCGGATCCGGCGGGACAGGAGGTGATCTGGGCTCTGGGTGCGGGATGCAGGAACATCACGACGCTGCGCATCGCTCCTCTACAGCCGTGGTGAGGATCCGTCTCTTTAAATCCGTCAGCGCTGATCACATGACCACTGATTTCCCACCTTGGTTTCCTGCAGCCTGCAGCCCAGTCGCTTCAGTAACCGCTGCTTGCAGACGATTGGCCGCTGCTGGCCGAACCTGTGCCGGGTGGGAGTGGGCGGGGCCAGCTGCGGCGTGCAGGGATTGGCCTCTCTGGGTGAGTGACAGGTGATGTGTGAGTGAGGTGAGATCTGACCAGGGTTCAGCGTCGCTCATGTGTTTCTGCAGTGAGGAACTGTGTGAACCTGTGTGAGCTGGAGCTGGACCACATGAACGAGCTGAACCAGGAGGCAGCGGCGGAGATCTGCAGAGACGGGCTCCAGCAGCTGCACACGCTCAGCTTCATCTCCTCACCCGTCACCGCCAGAGCCATACTGCGCTTCAGCAGTGAGCATCTCAGTTCAGCAAGACTGACCCAGTGCTTCTTTTTTTTAGAATTTTACATCTAAACTATATATTTTTTAATGATACAGTACCATGATTTATTTAAGTTTTAGGTGTTTTATTATTTAATTATTTTTATTTTACATTTTATATGTAATTATAAATGTTTATGATGTGATTTTAGTAAGTGTTTTTATTATTTTAAAATGATTTACTTTTTTTAATTATACATTAATATGATTTATTTAATTTTTAGTAGATGTTTTTATAATTGGTGTTTATTTTAAATTATTTGTTTACATTTTACATTTTTATGCTTTAACACACACACACACACACACACGCACACATAGACACACACACACACAGACACACACACACACACACACTCACACACACACACAGACACACACACCCACACACACCAACCCACACAGACACACCAGGCCTCGCGCACACCGCGCACACATAGACACACACACTCACACACACACACAGACACACACACACAGACACACACACTCACACACACAGACACACACACACTCTCTCTCTCTCTCTCTCTCTCACACACAGACACACACACACACTCACACACAGAGAGACACACACACACGCACACATAGACACACACACACACAGACACACACACACACACACACACACACACACA